GCGTCATTTCCCTACTGGTCAATATTTATTTCACGTGTCATTTTCTTGTTGGTCAATATTCACGGTAGTCCTTACTGTATAAATATGCATTTGTCTGTAAAGTATTATTCCTATTCTCATTCTTCCCCTGACCCCATAAACAATTTCATCAACGGTTCGTGTTCTGATATATTGGAGATTGGGGAACAGTATTGGGGTCGTACTGGGATATTTGAAGTTGGTCAGTCGGTAGAAATTAGAGTAGCCAACCCGCGGTCCACAATACTACTACAATGCGAATAACTGGCCACGATTAGATCAGGTTGAGTAGAAAATAACGGTGATAGTAATCCATGTAATCATCAACTGTTGGCTTTGATTTTATACGATTATTTACATCTTAAACTCGAATATTACTTCATGTTTATTTATCCTTACTTGTCTTTATTGAGGCGTATTCTCTATATTAATTTTCAATATCAATAGCATCATAAGGATTTCGATTCCTTCGATCTCCGTTGCAATAAATTTCTCTATGTTGTACAGATAGTTTAACTGATGTACATTTGTGTCGAATTACACAATCTTTGTAAGTGACTAACATACCTTGAAATAATAGTGCATTTTGTTCCGTCTATATTATCCTCACATGTTCTTTTTTTAAAAAAAATCTTATTACTCTATGACCAAGTAGAACGTTAAAAGAAATAAGTAGACTTTCAAAGAATCAATAAATTTTTCCATCTAGACCATAATCCGTCTATCAACCAAAGGATGTGTTTACTGCGCAGCAGTTCGTCTCGTCCTACTTTATGGCAGTGAAACATGGCCGGTAAGAGTGGAGGATATTCATAGGTTACTAGTATTCGATCATAGGTGTCTTCGAAATATTGCTCGTATATCATGGGACCATCAAGTAACGCAGTTGTCAGAAAACGGGTAATAGGTAAGGATGGCAAATCAATTGATGACTTAGTGGAACTTCATCAGTTGAGATGACTAGGACACATGTTACGTGTGTCCAACGACCGACTACCTCGACGTGCTATGTTCAGTGGTATAGGAGTAGGTTGGAAGAAAGCTAGAGGCGGCCAGACCAAAACATGGCACGAATCCATGAAGTCACTGACAAGTGTACTGAGTCATGTTGGTAGGTTTAGACTACCTGGTTGGGGACCACGAGATGATAGCAACCGATGGTTAGAGACCCTGAATGACATGGCTCAAAATCGTTTGGAATGGCGCAGGTGCATCCACTCTCTGTGTTCTCCCAATTTCTAATCTTCTGAATTCTTCATGTCCCTTTTTTCCTCTTTCCAAATTTATTTCACTGGATTATACTCTTTAAATAACATCTCCAAACCCTAATCTTCCCGATTACTGCTTATACTCTTGCTACCTCTACCACTACGGGATTTGAATCGACCACTGCATCTCTGTGCTAAGGTGGTGTGGCAACTCGAACTGATGTACGTACGTACGAAGTTCTACGTTGTTACTGACTGACTGACTTAGACTCTAATGAAATTAATCAAACAGAAAATAATCACAATATTATATTTGGATATTAAAACTAGTTTATCATTTCAAAACAATAAGTCGAAATTGTTCATCGAAAGGATTCATTAAAATCATGTAAACATTTTTATCTATGTAAAGTATACCTGAAAGGTTGATACTTCAATCGAAATGACGGTTGATTTGAAAGAAAAAGAGATTAGATAAGTGTACATGATTAAAAATAAACTTGAGAAACTAGTAAAAAAATATCAAACATGGTAAGATGTAATTTTCATAAGTCATTGACATAGTATATAAGCAAGCAACAAAATGAGTTATTATTCAATCATAAATGATAACAATAACAGAATAAGTGGATTATGTTACATTAGATTAGGAGTATTTTTTTTCTTATTTGATTCAAAACAAACAAAAAGAAACCATTTTATTAAATTAAAACAAATGTGTTTATATATGTGTGTGTCTGTGTATGTGTGTAAGTAAGGAAAACAAAATAAATAAATTTGAAGATCAAACGGAATATTCGATCTTTATGAAAGACCTTTATGACCTGAAAAGAAAACACAAATACAACACTGGTATATCAAGTAATAACATGTTGAAAGTAAGCAAGCTATTCACAAGCTACATAAGACAATATAATCTTCAATAGAGAACAATAACAAATAACGCAGTTACATAGCATATACATAGACTACTGGTATTACATTGTAGGTATCCGAAAAGCATTGCTTGTGTACAGTGAGATTACAAAACAAGAAATGTTTGTGTTAGGAATAGAGTATTAGGTAAAAATGGGAAATCAATTGGTGAGGTAGTATATCTACTTCAACCGGGGTGGTTGGGACATGTGTTACTTTTGCACAACCACTCACTTCTTCGACGAGCAACGATGAATGATATAGGTGTAGATTGAAGGAAAGATAGTGCTGATCAAACCAAGACATCGAATCAGTCCATAATCACACTGAATATTGTAATGAGACATATATAGAGAGATGCAGATTTCCGCTTGGGGTCCACGCAATTATCGTAACTAATAGTTGGACACTGGAATGGAATGGTTCAAAATTGTTTGCAAATGATCAGGTAGATTCACTCCCAGTATTTCCTTAGATTTGAAGTCTATAAATGTTTTTTACTTCACTATTTTATAGTTTCATCTTGAATTGCGTTTTGGATACATAATATTTTCTATTATTACTAATACTACTACCATCTCTACTATTTTGTGATCTACCCTGACAATTTCATACAGACGGGCTAATGGGCTATAGCAACTTGTATTCACGTGACAGATTTTACGTTGCGTTTGACTGATTGAAAATAATTACATGGATTTAACATGATGAATTGCAAAATAGTCGAGATTATTGGAGCGTCGATGATATCGAGGAAATCTGTAAATTGAGAATATGACTCGAAAATACAGAGTGGAACTCAAGGTCTACAAGAAAATAACGAGTGAATGCATTCTCGCTGTTGTGACGAGTTTTGAACTATGTGACCCAACGTATTCGACTGCTAATCGTGGTTTTCGTGTGTAAACCAAAACCAAGTAGTCTATATACACCTACGTCGCTCACACCAATAACTGAATGACTTCAATAAGGTTAACATCTGTTATTAATATAACAACACTCAAATGAATATCTATACAAATAGGTCAACGTGAATCTACTGTTCCATTACTTAGTAGTTAAACAATGCTGAAGTGTCGGTGACTAAGCAGTAAGAAATATCAATTACAATGTGTTCTGTAGTGATATTTACATATATCTATGAACGCAATGTAAACTATATTAACTCCAAGGGAAACATAGTTCTCATAAACTTTATATTCTTATCGCATTATCTAGAAAAGAAATATTAGTGTCAACAATTTAGAACAATGTCAAGATAAGTCATTTAATTAATGGAGCATAACCAGCAAAGTGGTATGAATATCATTTTACTGAACCAAACATAAATCAATACACAAGATAAATCTACTTCGAAGTATGTAAATTGTGAAACATACTTTTTCACATTGATTGACATTACTTGGAATTGGTTATTACCATTAAGGTTAAGGTTTCAAAGCATTCGATGATAATTACGACGATGTGTCCACAGAACAACAATCATCGGATTCTATAACCGATGGCATTACATTGTTCGATTTATCATGTGCATTATTTGAAGTATCAGATGAATTTTGTCGAATAGCTGTATATAGTTAGGGCGAAATGTTAAGGATGGGAAAAAGAAATATGTGAGAAGTAATTGAAAAAATGAGTGAATTCATATCATTAACAAATAAATAACTCAATAGATAGAATATTTGGATGATGTTGAAATATTAGCCAAACGAAGCCCCTAGTAATGGTGACAACTAGGACCAATATACACTCGTGGCATGTCCAATGTTGATAATGGGTGACTGGTGTTGTGTTCATTCAAAATTGGTGACGATTTACACGTGTTTTACTTTTACTATCGTGAGAAAATCTAACATCAACATATAAAGTTTAAAATCTTGGAGGACGTAGTCCTTTCACTACTGTGTTACACTCCAACAGCGAAACCAATACGACAACAGGATATACTCGGAAGTGAATCAATATGAACCTCAATCTTCCTCGCAGTTTATGAACACGATCACATATATGAGGCAGAAAAGCATATAACTTTAATCAATATGAAGTCTTTCAACAAATCTGTCTTATTCAAGAAAACGTATAAGAAGCATACCATATTGTAAAAATGATTTCCAGATAAAAGTGAAGCAGTGAGCCAACGGTTTGCCAAAAGTTGTCATTAGAAATTGCATTTATTGCGATATGTTAGGAATAACGAATATTCTTATTTTTATTCAGTATTATGATAGAAATATTGATGAGACTAACTTTCTTGACTCTGAGTAGTCAAGCATCAATCTAAGTTTGTCACATGAGAATAACGTTACGTTAGAGTGATAAGATGACAAGATAAGAGCTTACTTTTGTGTTGGTTACGCTTTTTGAGATGGATGGTTTAACTGTGGGGGTTTCAATGATGTTTTAGTAAGAGTTTATTTAGTTCGGTTGATGTATGATTATGTGGATGACTGATGATTTCCATATTCAATATTACTTTTGCTAATACTACAGTCTTTAGTCAGTGATATCTAAAGTGGAATCAAGCACATAGATGGATATTTTTGACATTTTCTCTGTACGTATTGATAAATGTGATAATACGGATATGAATTTAATTGGTAAAGTGTCAAAATATGGAATCTAGTAAGCTTAAAAAAACCAGAAAATTTCTTGAAGTACGTCATTCAGGTAACCTAACATATCGAAGTAGGTACAAATGATCAGTTTTTATGATGAATCGACCAAATGATGATTAAATTAAGAGTAATAGATTTGTCACATATTAGAAGTTATTTTTTCTCAAAGAAATTATTAATATTGGCAGTCAGTTAGGTACCATAAAGTTCAATAAATGAAATGGTGTTTAGGGCAATAACTCACCTGAAATAAGTTTACCTCGATTTACCGGAAGTTTTTTTGAAAAGTCTACATTTTCACCATCCATTATACTGTTAGTTTTTCTTAAAGATTTGAAAGCATTTGTCAATTCTGTAAGCATTTCTACACTAGGAGATTGTAAGTTATTTTTAGGATTAGTTGAAATTGTTGATGATAATCTTTTGGTAGGTTCCACTCCTGAATCTTCAGTAAATGTAAATGTAATTTATATAAATCACAAAGATATATACACAATCAAGACAAAGGTTATGAAAATTATTCATATGTGTTGTATAATATACTAGATATATGAAATGAATATTTGCAAAATGTTAAAAAGGAATTAAAACCATATTTGAAAAGAGAAATAATCATTTTCCAGTGTATATATATGATGTGGTTATTGGTTAGTGATAAAATAATAATGATACAATGTGAACAAAGAAAACTTTAATAAAATGGTTTTGAGATGGTGGAAAAGATCTGTAGCTCAGGTGGATGATTTTGATGGAGTTTTGTTCTCTGAGCTGGATGGTTTGGCCGTGAGGCTTTCATCATTCTTCTGAACGACATCATCAGCACAAACTTCTACGACCAAACCATCCAGCTCAGAGAACAAAAATCCACCAAAATAAAACGGTTTGTATATAATACATGATAATGTAAACTTTGATATATTATAACTTGGCATTTCTTTCACGTTGCTATTTATCCAAATAAATGAATCAGGTTATTTCCCAAATAAATATTAATACTACATAATGTAAAATATCAAGATATTAAGTTATGAAGCAGTAACGATAGATTACTGACGTGAATATACCTTACCTTTTAATTTAACTTTTAAAAAAACTTACATCAAAGATTTAGTAGACGCTACGGATGGAAGTGTTGAATAAAATAAGAATGTACTCCTATAGTGTAAACTATATATCGACAAATGGTTCAAACGTAAATAATCAATTCTGTATGAATTTAGAAATAAAGTAATGACTGAGTGATAAAAAACTCTTTTATCAACGAATTAATCCAATTTTTTCAAGTATTCAGGGGATATCACTAGACCATACAAAAACATGTGGCTTGAAATACATTACACGGGCCTGTATTAGCTACAGAGTAGGATTTAAAACATTTATTATTATTTATTTATTTGAAAAAAAAACATTGATACAAGGAAGCACCAAATATATGTGCGCCATACTTCATCATTCGATTTGTGTGAGGGTTGGAATAATCTCCAGACACCCAAACCGAATCGAGTGATTTTCTTGGGCGAATATTGCATGAGCCTTTGACCTAGAGGTTTAATCAACAAGGTAGTGGAGTAACGTCAGTAGATGCAGTCCCATGGTATCCGGTGACCAACAATAGGTTTATATGCCATTTGTTCCCTAACGAACCTGATGTCTATGTGCTCCATTAGTTTGGAATCATGGTTTTCCGACTCTCCTAGATGGATCCTCCATATCCACCAACCCAGTTAAAGTACTGGACATTCGCTTTTTGTCCTCTTAGTTTCGTAAACAACACCCTCGCCACGAGAAGGCAGAGAGTAGGACTTCCCTGTCAGTGGCTGTATACACGCGGCCATGTGAGAGCATTTCGAGGGGAAGAGAGGACTCTCCCCATCCCACCCTCGGCCGTGCCAGCGCATTTGGGGGAGTAGGATTTAAAACTTATTTTATTAATTATTATTTTCAGCTCAAGTTTACTTATCGCTGTCACTGATGTATATATCACAGATGTGAGCAGTTTTCATTGTGAAACAGATGAGTACAATCATAAAGACAAAATTATTTTCAGTAACATATAAGCGCCATATTTATGAGCTAAACATCTTTCTTCCAATGAATTTAACCCCCCCCAAAAAAAAGCTTATGAGATAATAATTTCGAAAAAAGAGAGAGGAATCGTAGGACAACAGCATAAAACTTTATGGTGACATTGATGAATTAAAGCGTCAGCGTAATCTATGATACGATAATCGGACACGATAACAAATACACAAAGTCAGGAGAATACAAACAAAAAGACCAAATTACAAGAAACGTATATATGTTATTAATAAGACTTGTTAATCATATATTACATATTATATCCTAGGTGAACACTGATTATTACTATGATAAAGAAATGGATGACATAGATTTAATATAAATTCAATCAAACTTAATACAAAATCAATTGAATTAGGATGATAATCTGTCTACCTTTCACTAATTGACAAACAATCATTAATATATTCACTATTTTTCCGACCACAGCTTAATACTTTAAACTTTGTAGGAGAGTAGTTAAGCGATATTTCAACAAGATACATTCAAAGTGTAAAACGTTTTAAACCAATTTCTCGCGGTATCAAAAAAAGTTGAAATCTACACTGTGCATACAACAAAATGGTTAGAGGGGAACTATATTCACCCACAAACACATACATATAGCTACACGAGTTTCATCGAACCACAATACACAGAACCATATTTGCATCAATAAAATATTCAGAAGGTTCACGGAAAACGTGAAAACAAACGGAGGAGCTCACATAGCTTCGGATCACCACTTTCTCGAGACCGAGATGAGATTGGAGCCAAAAGAGCACTGAACAGCCGAGCAAACAACATTACAAAAGTTTGATACAGTCTTCCTTCGAGATACTGACAAACTCAATTAATTCAAAATAGGTATCAGCAGCAGGTCAGGTTCCAAGACTTACAACATTAACTTAAACAAGAGGTAACTACTATGAACAACAGCTGGAAAGGGATGAAGGAAGCACTGGGAAAAAAACTGGAAAAGACAACCGAAAACACGGTTGGTTTGGCAGTCTATGCCCCACGAGCAGTGACAGGCGCAATTAAGTAAGTAATGCGTTGATCTTAATCTCATAAAATATTTCAGTAAACCATATCTTGACACAACGTATAAAAACAGGCGGTTATAAGTTAAGGTGAATGCTAAGTAACACCGTATTAATTAACAAAAATTTGTTTACCATTCTAAAAAACTCCTTATCAATAAGAGTAAATGCACATTGAAACTAGTGAATAGATTACAGTTACTGAAGGTGATTAAGAAAAGACGTCATTATATTGAGATTGGAATTTGATATATTATATGAGTAAGTATCCATTACAGAGCAATTGAAAGTATTTTAACACAAACCCAAACATATGAGAACTCTAACAGATCGAAGGTATATCATACAACTTTCAAAGGTAATAATTTACATGCTAATATCAGGTCAAGAGAGGAGACTGGAATTTCAGGATAGCCTAATATTCTGAATAGAAGTCTAAAATTGAATAAAATCAGAAAAATAATTGAGGCAAAAGAGTATGAAGTCGTTATATTTTGTGTTTTCTCATTAACTGCTTACGACCATTGATGTGTAATAACGTGTAACACTGAGATATGATATAATGTGTGACAATATCTCAGCATTTAACTGATACCGGGGATATCATCGACAATTCCCAATCATTAAAATCTATCGGTTTGCCGACGCAGTAGCAATTCAGAAACTTAAACTTGATTTATGTTCCCAGATAGGGAAAGTCACCCACCACCCTGATAAATTCACAACTTTGATTAATATCATCTGCAAGTATTTTTGTTATCATTATTTTACAAGTGTTTATTTTGTTATGCGGCTTTTGTCGAACTAACTCTTACCTCATCTACGCTAAAATCATACTTTCATTTATCAGTTTTTTGCTCAATTCACCGAATTCTCTAAACTTATGTAAATTCAACAAACTTTGTACAATTATTACGTAACCCTTCGATTGTTAGTTCTAGACAATTATTATTCAAATTCTTTCTTTCATCAATGTCGATTACTTCATATCATTTCATATATCGATGTTGCACTTTAATACAAACACGGTTGTGCAGCTGTTGAGAAACCACGATGTATAATGAATCCACAGTATTCTGTCTCGACTGTTGTCATGGCTTTAATCAAATTTGTAAAAAGAACCAATTAGTGAAAATCCAAAATCCAAATGGAACACAATAAATGACAATAGATAAGTGGAGAGCGGAAGACGATGAGGAAATATAAATTAGAAAAAAAATATCGACTTTGTACTTTAAAAAAAACAATAGGGAATAACAAGAAAATAGATAACCTGAGGTCTCCTTAGCGTAAAGTAAACTTAACTTTTAGGGACCCTTAAAGTAATGAGCCTGTGCCTTTTAATTTTGTATCTGTAGGACGACACGGTAAGATTAAAAAACAAGATAAACAACCTCATAATGGTCAGGTTATTCAAGCAAATAAGTAAAATTAAGACTAGTGTACGAATTTCGGGAAAGAAAGATATGAAACTTAGGGGCTTGACTTATGAAACAATAAACTCCAACTCCAGCAAAAATAATAAGTTTGCCAAAAACAAGGTAAACACAGTATAAATTTGGATCCGCCAGTGTTGCTTACAACCTGACAACAGAAAACGGAACAAAAACAATCAATATCAGAGCAGAAGCGGTAGTGGTAGAAATAGCATTCGTCGTAATGACATAGATTATTCAAACAGAATATGATTCCACAAGAATGAGTTGACGCAGTAAAAAAGTAGAACAAGTTTAAGATGTAGTAACACGCGACAGATATGGAACTAACATAGCTACAAATAACAACGAATTAAGACAACGACACAGAAAATAGCTTCGTGTAATCTAACAATCAAACCATAACAAAATTACTAAGTCACAAATGTGGAAAGATCAGCGGTAAAATTAACTTCTTGAAAACGACAAAATTAATTTTGCAAATAATTACAGAGAAACAAAGGATCAGTTATCATTTCGTTAACTACTCATTTCAACAAAGTACCAATCGGACTTACCTGAATCTTTAAGTGATGGATCCGAATAATTAGCACGCATAGTGGAGTTCCGTTGTAAAGACGATGGAGCTGGTGGTGAGGGAGGTGGCGGTGGCGGTGGTATTGCAGAACGACATTCTTTCACAGATTCCTAAGAGCAGTAAGAGAAAGTATCAACTACAATCACGTCATGTGAATAAAAATGACAAATTAAACTCAAGTACAACATCATCCGATTAGACTGATCAGACATTATGTTTACATTGCATACATACCAAAAAACATTGATTTTCCACATCCACATGGAAAAGAGACAATGAAACAGTCACAAATGGAATCCGCTCACCATAGAAATACAAAACCACAATAATACATTTATTAAACACAACTCAATGTTTTAAACGCAATGCAACAGAAATACAAGGCAGACATAAGAATAGAAAGCACCTCAGAACAATTGGAAAACACTTCCTAAGGCGGATTTGATTGGAGAATACTGGTCAACAGCCTATGCTCCACAAGGTGTAAAACGAATAATTAATGAAGATAACGTTGTTCAGATTACAACTATTTAACCCAATCCAATTTACTGTATTGTACATTCTTATCTGAATTAATCACAATTATGATTATAGTGTATTGATCAGATAAAATATTTAAACGGTCGTACCAGATGTAGGAATATAATCACGCTTTATGTAGTGAGTAAAATCAAAGTCAGAACACAACACACAACATTGTCGTCAAACTACATTTTGTGACCAAACAAGAATCCCACGACCAGATACACAAACTCACCAAAATCATTCAAATAAAAACACAACACTCCTTAGAATATATGTTTTTCTAGGCAATATCCATAAACAAACCTTCTTTGTAATGGACGTCATTGTGGTAGATGGTTTACACTCATGAGAATTTGATTGATTGTTCACAACATCGACAACACTTGGCTTTGTAACTATTTCTTGAGAATGATTTTTGGGCGCTGAGCCTTTATTTGATTTGCGGCCTAGTAAAGCACATAAATAATAAAGGTTACAAACCATTATAACACAAATAATTTAAACATACTATAACATTCTACATACAAAGATGTATTTCAGCAGAAACATGATTTTCATTGAATATGAATATGTAGTGGAGATTGACCAGTAATACTGATAAAAAAAATAAGTGTACATCAGTTGTTGACAAAGCATGTGTGCCCTTTACTACAAAAACTACATACATAATATATGTTCACATCACAAAGCGTTTAAATAAATTAACGTTATTTTAGCGTCTTCAACAATCTTAACTATTCCATTACCGTACCTACGATAAACCAGTTGGAAAACAAGTTTTCACTTTGGACATTTGTCTATGAAAGTTCAGACGAAAAAGGAGCTAGCAACTAGAGCACATAACTGACAAAGTAATCACTTTAAGTCTGAGTTCACTGTAGGTTCGACTTGACCAATAGCATTCAAGTAACGAGATTTTAATAGGGAAGTCAGTCAGTCAGTCAGTAACAACGTAGAACTTCGTACGTACGTACATCAGTTCGAGTTGCCACACCACCTTAGCACAGAGATGCAGTGGTCGATTCAAATCCCGTAGTGGTAGAGGTAGCAAGAGTATAAGCAGTAATCGGAAACATTAGGCTTTGGAGATGTTATTTAACGAGTATAATCCAGTGAAATAAATTTGGAAAGAGGAAAAAAGGGACATGAAGAATTCAGAAGATTAGAATTTGGGAGAACACAAAGAGTGGATGCACCTGCGCCATTGCAAACGATTTTGAGCCATGTCATTCAGGGTCTCTAACCATCGGTTGCTATCATCTCGTGGTCCCCAACCAGGTAGTCTACACCTACCAACATGACTCAGTGCACTTGTCAGTGACTTCATGGACTTGTGCCATGTTTTGGTTTGGCCGCCTCTAGCTTTCTTCCAACCTACTCCTATACCACTGAACATAGCACGTCGAGGTAGTCGGTCGTTGGGCATACGTAACACGTGTCCCAGCCATCTCAACTGATGAAGTTTCACTACTTCATCAATTGATTTGCCATCCTTACCTAGTACCCGTTTCCTAACAGCTGCGTTACTTACTCGGTGGTCACAGGATATACGAGCAATATTTCGAAGACACCTATGATCGAATACTAGTAACCTACGAATATCCTCTACTCTTACCGGCCATGTTTCACTGCCATAAAGTAGGACGGAACGAACTGCTGCGCAGTAAACACGTCCTTTGGTTGGTAGACGGATATCTCGCCTACGCCATAAATGACGCAAGTTGGTGAAAGCTAGTCGAGCCTTCTGTATCCGTGCTGAGATTTCGTCACACACCAGACCACAAGGGCTGATGAGACTTCCAAGATAAGTGAAGCGGTCGACACACTCAACTACTTCACTCCCTATCACTAGTTCGGGTGTCGATGTAACCCAATCCTGAAGCAACATTTTGCATTTCGAGGGAGAGAATCGCATCCCGAACATGCTTGCATTGTTGCTTAGAGTGGTCAGAAGACTCTGCATTTTGTCAGCGTCTTCACCAAACAAAACTATGTCATCAGCATATTCTAAGTCAACAAGTGAACCTCCCGGTAGAAGTTCAACCCCTGGAAATTTAGATGAGGAGAGTGTTATCTCTAAAAGTACGTCAATGACAAAGTTGAACAAGAATGGGGAGAGTGGACAGCCCTGACGAACACCACTTGAGGTAATCAATTCTGATGACAGTTCGCCATAAGCTCTCACTCTACCAGTTGTGTTTGAGTAGAGAGCCTTTATAAGGTTAATGTACTTCTTTGGTACTCCTTTCAGTGACAAACACGCCACTTAGAGGTGGGTTCTAATGCTAAAAACCATCTACTTCAGAGAAACACGACCACAATAGCAATAATTTACGTATCCTTAGAGCTTCATACTTGCCAATCACTATCATCGCCCACTGAAATTTATGGGACATTTGTGGTGGTAATTTTAGAACAGACTTACACTACGTGATCACCATTAATTAATCTGTCGAAATAAATACGAAAGATATCGGTTGTGCATGACACGAATTCAAAAAATTGCTGCACTGAGCCAGATATCATTGTTTAAAATGAACGGACCAGATGAAATCTACAATATTTTAGTCTGGATAGATGTACCAAGATTCATATGTTGAAAAATAACACACAGAATTGACAAAGTTGTTTACCTTCTTTTACGAATTCATCATCTAGGCGACTATCCGTTTTAAGCAAGTGCGAATCAGATTTACGAGAGTCTTTATGTGTTGACTTGGGCATGTTTGGATCATTACCATTAACAGGTTTATTGAGACTTGGAAGTATTTGTGGTGGTGGTGGTGGTGGTGGTGGTGGTGCAGGAGAACGATATTTTTTATCGGATTCCTAAGAGCAACGAGAGGAAGTATCAACTACAATCACGTCATGTGAATAAAAATGACAAATTAAACTCAAGTACAACATCATCCGATTAGACTGATCAGACATTATGTTTACATTGCATACATACCAAAAACATTGATTTTCCACATCCACATGGCAAAGAGACAATGAAACAGTCACAAATGGAATCCGCTCACCATAGAAATACAAAACCACAATAATACATTTACTAAACACAACCCAATATTTTAAACGAGTTAGTCAAAACACTAATGCGTGCGTAGAAAGGAATCTAAGGTCATTGTGACTGAAAGAAAAACCAACACACACAGTACAGCTACCACAAAAAGACAAATGGCAAATCGTGTGATAGTTTTCGAAATAACACTGATCACTGTTATTAGTCTATTCTGCAGATCAGTATCAATGGTTAATATATTTATTTTATGAACAAGTAGGACATAAATTATCTGAAAATATTGGCTTCAGTCTGTCTGGCGCAAACTCAGTGTCTAGAAGACCATTTATAACTCGCCTTCAGCCCTTCTAGGTTCACTGCTAGTCCCAAACTCGGATAAGGATGCAAGTTTGGGCATGGGTTTATTGAACCTTTCTGAAAAATAGCTAATTAGAAAAATCATTTCAATCATTCCAACTCTCTCCTGTGAGTTGAAGGACAATAACTCAAAAGACTTACGACGACCTCAAGTGGAAGACGAGATTTTCTAGAAGTCATGAGTCCGATGCCCCTTCTGACAACTAGAGCGATAATTAATATAGGTACATGGGATATCCAAACAGTGGAGGAGACCGGGAGGACCAGTGAAATAGCTCCTGAAATCAGGAGATAATACCTGATGATGTTCGAAACAAGTGAACGCATTACACCCATGAAAGACAGAAAAAATCACCTTCAAGAGAGTAGCTATTGTACTCTAGTGATGAGGGAGAAAATCTGCGGCATACACAGAGTTGCACTGATGATTTTCATAGAAATACGAGAACTCATGAGATTGGGATCTCATGGACCTAGGATCATCAAAAGATACTCCAAAACACAGAAGGGGGGATCCTAATGAATGTTATCCAGTGCTATGCGCACATCAATCATAGCAACAAACACTATAAAGAACAGTATTATGAGAGGCTCTAGTCGATCGTAGATAAGTGCTCACTAAAAGACCTGACAGTCTGGATGGTAGACCTAAACCCCAAGGTTGAGATGGACAACATCAGGCATAGAGATACCATGAGACGACATGGACTAGGAGAAAAAGGAACGAAAATTGTGAGACGTTTGCAAATTTATATGCATTCAACAAAATGGTTAGGGGTGGAACTATATTCCCCCACAAACACATACATATAGCTACACGAGTTTCATCGAACCACAATACACAGAACCACATTTGCATCAATAAAATATTCAGAAGGTTCACGGAAAACGTGAAAACAAACGGAGGAGCTCACATAGCTTCGGATCGCCACTTTCTCGAGACCGAGATGAGATTGGAGCTAAAAGAGCACTGAACAGCCGAGCAAACAACACTACAAAAGTTTGATACAGTCTTCCTTCGAGATAATGACAAACTCAATTAATTCAAAATAGGTATCAGCAACAGGTCAGGTTCCAACACTTACAACATTAACTTAAACAAGAGGAAACTACTATGAACAACAACTGGAAAGGGATGAAGGAAGCATCAACTTCAACATGACTGGAGCTGTTAGGTTGCAAGTAGCACCATCATAAACAGTAGGTCTCTATTGATATCCTGAACAAAAGTAAAGGATGGAAAGAAGGAAGCACAAGAAAACAGTTATTACGAACAGCCGAACAAGAACAGAGAAAGTGAAGGCACAAGGAGAATATACCGAAGCAAACAAGCGAGTGAACAGGAGCGGAAATATGTGGAACGCCAAGCGATGATAGCGGGAATAGTTACAAGAGAAGGAAATATGACACAGTTATATAATACAAAGAATACTCTACCAAGAGAATATAGTAAAACACAGTGTCCAATGAAGGACAAGAAAAGTAAACCACACACCGAGATTTAAGAACAGTCGAACAGGTGGATAGAACACTGTGGAGATCTCTTGAATAAGCCAGCTCCACTGAACCCACTGGACATCGAAACAGCACACACAGACCTTCCTTATAGCTGTCACTCTACCAACAATCGAAAAAATCAGCATGGCCATCCAACAAATCAAGAGCTGGAAAGCAGCAGGACCTGACAATATACCAGCTGAAGCACTGAAGTCAGACACAGAAGCAACAACAAAGAAGCTACACGTTCTATTCAGGAAAAATTTGGCGAGAGAACAATTGCCGACAGACAGTAGAGAGGGACATGTGATCATAATACCAAGGAAAGAAAATCTCAGCAAGTGTGAGAACTATACACGCATCACATTACTACCAGTACTAGGAAACGTTCTCAACACAGTGTTGTTGAACCCGAGTAGACGCCCAACAGGCTGCATTTCATCAGGTTTGATGGCATACCGACCGAATCGCGGCACTACAGATCACCGTTGAACAATCAGTTAAATGGAACACATCGATTAACATCAACTTCCCCGACTATGATAAATCAATTAACGGTGTAGATAGGAGAACCTTATAAAACTTTCTTTGACATTGTGGTGTACCTGAGAAGATCTTCAGCATAAGGAGTTTTAACGATAAACTACACTATAAACTCGTGCATGGAGGGTAGCACACAGATCCATTCCAAGTGAAGACAGCTGTCAGACAGGACAGCTTATTATCATCTTTTCATTTTCTTCTGGTGGTTGACTCGATTCACACCTGAGGGAAAACATGGAAAATGAACAGCTCGGAGTCAACTAGACGAGTTTGGAGATGACCCGCCCCTTCTATATATCATACATAAACTCACCAACATCATTCAAATAAAAACACAACACTCCTTAGAATATATGTTTTTCTAGGCAATATCCATAAACAAACCTTCTTTGTAATGGACGTCATTGTGGTAGATGGTTTACACTCATGAGAATTTGATTGATTGTTCACAACATCGACAACACTTGGCTTTGTAACTATTTCTTGAGAATGATTTTTGGGCGCTGAGCCTTTATTTGATTTGCGGCCTAGTAAAGCACATAAATAATAAAGGTTACAAACCATTATAACACAAATAATTTAAACATACTATAACATTCTACATACAAAGATGTATTTCAGCAGAAACATGATTTTCATTGAATATGAATATGTAGTGGAGATTGACCAGTAATACTGATAAAAAAAATAAGTGTACATCAGTTGTTGACAAAGCATGTGTGCCCTTTACTACAAAAACTACATACATAATATATGTTCACATCACAAAGCGTTTAAATAAATTAACGTTATTTTAGCGTCTTCAACAATCTTAACTATTCCATTACCGTACCTACGATAAACCAGTTGGAAAACAAGTTTTCACTTTGGACATTCGTCTATGAAAGTTCAGACGAAAAAGGAGCTAGCAACTAGAGCACATAACTGACAAAGTAATCACTTTAAGTCTGAGTTCACTGTAGGTTCGACTTGACCAATAGCATTCAAGTAACGAGATTTTAATAAGGAAGTATAATTTTGGCACGCCACTTAGAGATGGGTTCTAATGCTGAAAACTATCTACTTCAGAGAAACACGACCACAATAGCAATAATTTACGTATCCTTAGAGCTTCATACTTGCCAATCACTATCATCGCCCACTGAAATTTATGGGACATTTGTGGTGGTAATTTTAGAACAGACTTACACTACGTGATCACCATTAATTAATCTGTCGAAATAAATACGAAAGATATCGGTTGTGCATGACACGAATTCAAAAAATTGCTGCACTGAGCCAGATATCATTGTTTAAAATGAACGGACCAGATGAAATCTACAATATTTTAGTCTGGATAGATGTACCAAGATTCATATGTTGAAAAATAACACACAGAATTGACAAAGTTGTTTACCTTCTTTTACGAATTCATCATCTAGGCGACTATCCGTTTTAAGCAAGTGCGAATCAGATTTACGAGAGTCTTTATGTGTTGACTTGGGCATGTTTGGATCATTACCATTAACAGGTTTATTGAGACTTGGAAGTATTTGTGGTGGTGGTGGTGGTGGTGGTGGTGCAGGAGAACGATATTTTTTATCGGATTCCTAAGAGCAACGAGAGGAAGTATCAACTACAATCACGTCATGTGAATAAAAATGACAAATTAAACTCAAGTACAACATCATCCGATTAGACTGATCAGACATTATGTTTACATTGCATACATACCAAAAACATTGATTTTCCACATACACATGGAAAAGAGACAATGAAACAGTCACAAATGGAATCCGCTCACCATAGAAATACAAAACCACAATAATACATTTACTAAACACAACCCAATATTTTAAACGAGTTAGTCAAAACACTAATGCGTGCGTAGAAAGGAATCTAAGGTCATTGTGACTGAAAGAAAAACCAGCACACACAGTATAGAGTTCACAAACGATGAGTAAAAATTCGTACTATATGTTCCGACCTAGAGTTGTTTTTTATAATTGGCGGTCCATATAAAAGAATGTAATTATTAGGAGGTAGTAATTATATTTGAAGTTGTTATATTTGTTGATTATACTTGTTTAATTTTGTGATAATTAAAATTCAGCTTCTTTATTATGATATTCATTTATCAGTGGTAGGTGCTACACAGTTTAATTTACTCAAAATGTGGCTGTTGTTTATTGTAAACAAAAGAAGTTTTGAAATGTAGTTTTTGATGTATTTCTAGTGTTATATAAATATTTGTTCTGTGTACCTGTCTTTTTCCTTGTATTGTATCATATCAGTTTTGTTTATTTATAGCACAAAATGAATAATGAATACGTTGGAATTATAAAGCAGTAAGACAAAAATTGTCTGAAATTGTTGGCTTCATACTATCTGGCTCAAATTCAATATCTAGTAGATCATTTTTGTTAAGATAAAAACTATTCAAAGCTCTCTGATTTACTGTCTTATACATCTTTAACTGAATTCATCACAATTATGTTTATGGAGTATTGATCAGGTTAAATATTTAAACGACTGTAGTGGGTGCAGGAATATTCCTACGCCTGAATTAATAGGTATAACCGATGCTGGTACAAAAAGCACCACATTTCTGACAAGTTACATCCTTTTGTTTTGTATTATCACGAAAGGGGCTGGAATCTCTTGACCACGGGCTTTGTATTTACCAAGATTTGTCAAGAAGCGCTTCTGAAACGTTTAGAAAAATTATGTCCGCCTAGACGATTCTCGAAACATCGCTTAGTGCTCCAGTCATTTATTATTAGTTAGTTAGTTAGTTCACGAACTGAGCTGCTTGGTCTTGGAGTAATCACTTTCCCAGTGCTTGTAAAAATTAATTAACCGAGGAAGCAATGTTTTTGGTAAGTGAACCAAGATATGCCCACGTTTCTAATTTAATATTATATCAACTTAGTTTTGACGTAGGTTGTTGAATACAGCTGCGTTCATGTATCTTCTAAATTAAAGAAATACTCTCCCCGAAATGTATATATTGGCAAGACAAAAATTCATGAGACAAAATACAAACACGCAAACCTTCTTTGTATTTGAATTCACCATGGTAGACGATTTACGCTTGTGTGAATTTGATTTATCTTTAACAATAAATGATTTACTCCGTAATTCTTGAGAGCAGTTACTAATTGAGTCCCTATTTGCCTGAGATCCTAATAAAGAATAGGAATAATACAATAAATGAAAATCAATTCAGTATGAATTGTCTATAGTAAGTTCAGAGCAGTGATACCACAGTGAACAATGAATCACTTGAATAACTCTATAAAGTTTAAAAATAAGTGATATGTATTACTGTAGACTAAATTCACTGATTATTAACCACTTACATTTCATTAGTTATAAATTAGCATTCCTAAAACTACTTTGTAAAATTCTAAATGATTAAAATATTAGATGTTGGATAAGTCCCAAAGATCATGCAGTGGAATCTCACCCACACACGAATTATATAACAAATACTAAATGTTCAATGCTTTTTAAAACAAATTACCTCAGTAACAAAGAAGTAATCAACCTTTCACGACGAATTCTTAGACTAATTTATTATCTATTTATTTGTCTGATTTATCTTTTTCTGTGTAATTAACAATATAACTGTTTAACAATAACTTGAAGTACTGTTCAGTTAGTAGGTATCATTACCAAGGTTTAACTTGATAATTTCGAATAAATCGAGCATTGGGTAGATTGTTATAAATAAGTTAATATATTCGCAATGTCCCAAAGAGTAGAAAAATGAGATTTTCTGACGTTTCGGGACTTAGTGTAGGCCACTTCTTCAGAGAATAAACAACCAAATTAAAATTCTTGTTGTTCCGTTGTACTATTTAAACTTGGATTTATTTCAATTTTGTTGTTTATTCTCTGAAGAAGCGGTTTACACTAAGTCACGAAACGTCAGAAAATCTAATTTTTCTACCCACTGGGATATTACAAATATCTTATTTACTGTTCAGTTATATTTTATTTTTCTATTTACAGAAATAATATAAGAAAATACAGAATTGACCAGCCCAAAAATGATCAACAGAGACTAGAACTTACCAACAACTGAATTTCGTTTATCGTCCAATTTTTTATTATCATTTTTCTTACTTGGTAGTGTTACACAACTAGAAGACTGTACCTTGTCGGGTACATCGGCAAAAGGTGATAAATGTCGATGAGTTATTTGTTGTTTAGCAGGTACACTTGGTGCTGGATGCCTTTTATGCTTACTTTCAGTAGAGATCTTAGTTAACAATAACAACACAGAAAAGATTATAAATTAATTAAACAGCTATTAGGCCTAGAAAAATTATAAAGTATTGTACATAAAGCTTGCAATTCAACTATATTTATTACTAACTTTTACCATATATTCATGTTAAAATTGCTTATCAGAAAATTTATTTTAAACCAACTCAATTAATAAGCACTTGATCATGACTCAGTATATCATAGTTCAAATGGTTGCACAGTTAGAAGACAGCCATCATTACAGACAAAAATACCAGGGAAACCTGAATGTTGATGACTTACAATTCGATGTAATGTTGTAATTATGGTTTGTTGAGATGTTTAAAACAAGGACAGATATCTAGTGGCTACTCGGTTTGGGTAGTTCATTAGATGATATTAGTCTATGATGAACACGTTGAAAATGATAAAATTGTGAATAAACGCCAAAGTGAGCTATTATGATTATTACTAGTAATTTCTTTGCTTCATATGATTCATTGTAAAAAGAATTCTGTTAATTATTAACGCATAATTAACGATAACATTTATCCCTGTTCTTCAATTAAAATACACACAGATTTCCAGATGATCTTATGTAATTAATGATAAATTAACTATTTTTCGACTTTTCACACTATCATAATTCTTATTATTACGGCCCACCCACCCTTTATTGAGTAGCATTCTTGGACAATACTTCACTCGACAAGTCTCTAAATCAGAACACGGTTGAATAGGAACGTAATTATATTCCAAATAACAAGGTTGAATAGAAGTAGGAATCCCAACAAGATAAACGTCAGAATATTTATAATTTTCACATGAGAACATTCTTCTCCAAGTCTCCGCTAGCGCTGATTGCTCAAGAAATAGCCGACCAGAGTGCCTCAACACAATGCTGCACGGAGTATGCTTCAATTCAATCTATGTACCGCTAACACAAACTTAGTCTCTTGTAAAATAATATTCTGGTGTACTATTATTATTATTACTACAGATATTATAAAAGTAAATTTTGTTTACTAGAGAGTACTCTGACCTAAAATGTTAATAGTCTAGAAATCCTTATCAGAAACGGGTTTTGTGGAGATTGTAGTAATTTAACAGTTGAATTCATGAGCGGATTAAAGCCAGACCACCTTGGAAAAACTGGAAGCACTGCATGGCCGTTTCGTCCTAGTACGAGACTCCTCAGTGATGAGCATCCACGACCCCGCTTGCGGGATCCGAACTCAGGACCTCTGATCCCGCGTGCCAACGCTTAACCTCTAGATCACTGAGGCAGCATCCAACAGTGTAAATGTCTAACTTCAACCAACCCGCGAAATTGCGCCGCCATGGATGCGCACTTCCGAGGAGTCCCATACTAGGACGAAAAGGTCGTCCAGCGCTTCCAGGTTTTCCAAGATGGTCTAGCTTTAATGGACTCGTGAAGTCTAGAAATTATCTTTAAACAACAATGTGACGTTAATTCGATCATAGGTGTCTTCGAAACATTGCTCGTATATCATGGGACCATCGAGTAAGTAACACAGTTGTTAGGAAACGGGTACTAGGTAAGGATGGCAAATCAATTGATGACGTAGTGAAATTTCATCAGTTGAAATGACTGGGACACGTGTTACGTATGCCCAACGACCGACTACCTCGACGTGCTATGTTCAGTGGTATAGGAGTAGGTTGGAAGAAAGCTAGAGGCGGCCAAACCAAAACATGGCACAAGTCCATGAAGTCACTGACAAGTGCACTGAGTCATGTTGGTAGGTGTAGACTACCTGGTTGGGGACCACGAGATGATAGCAACCGATGGTTAGAGACCCTGAATGACATGGCTCAAAATCGTTTGCAATGGCGCAGGTGCATCCACTCTTTGTGTTCTCCCAAATTCTAATCTTCTGAATTCTTCATGTCCCTTTTTTCCTCTTTCCAAATTTATTTCACTGGATTATACTCGTTAAATAACATCTCCAAAGCCTAATGTTTCCGATTACTGCTTATACTCTTGCTACCTCTACCACTACGGGATTTGAATCGACCACTGCATCTCTGTGCTAAGGTGGTGTGGCAACTCGAACTGATGTACGTACGTACGAAGTTCTACGTTGTTACTGACTGACTGACTGACGTTAATTAATTACAAAAAATAAAACAGTGGTTTTCTAGGTTGAAACATCCATTTAGAGTTTTCAAATCACTATATCAGAGGCGAAAAATGTAAAAACTTGGGAATGTGTGTCAATAGTCAATGAATTTAAGAACTGATTCAATGACATGCGACTTTTTTATCCCACTACTATGCTGCAAATCGCTGGCTAGTGATATGTAACACAAACCTAAACAAATTCACTCGTTGAAAATCCAGGACTCTCCAAAAGACTGGCTACTAACATAATATACTAAGTCACTTATGTTATCCACTAATTCAATATAAATGATGGAACTCAAGAGGTAACTGAAATGGCCATTTTAAAGAATAGTTGAACAAAATTCTTACTTCCACTTCCAAATTAGATATCAGAGAGTCATCATTTTGACTCTTTTTGTGTGACTTTGAGTTCTTGCTAGATTTAACTTTTCGTTCTGCAAGATAAAAGATTTAAAAAATCATAACAGACAGACACCAAGATATTAATATAGGAAGTGATTTGCAAGTTTTAACAATTTTTAATAGCTGTAAATTCATACAACTGGAGAAATTACATCAAACGGCTTTCTCATCTATTTGTTTACAAACAAGCGTGCAAGTAACCGTCAAGCAGAGATTCAGTTAAGCAAGCTTAACTGTTCAAATATCACTGCCTAGTTTTTTTAACCATATTTCTTATGTTTAGCCTTACATCGGAACAGCAATTAATATTTTTACCGTTCTTTCCATTCCAGTGATATTCTTTCGCATAGCTCTTTATTCAGTAGCCACATAGAACTTTGGTTGTTCCTTGAAGATAAGCTAAGAGTTAACTATCCAAACTTCATTTCTCACACTTAAACTACCATTGCTTTTCATGTTATTTTCCATACTATGCTTCCCATTTTGTCTGTTTCCTCTAGCTGCATTGATGCAAGCGGAGGCGACTTGGAGTGACGCAAACCCATCCCAGGTCCTACATAGATAACGACTAATTGACTGACTGATTACTTAAAGATAAGATCAAATAATTTTAGTTTTTCTAAGTAATCAACCTTTGACGACCACGTAAAGTGGCTACATATTGAGAAAACAATAACTCATGTTCAAAATGAACAGTCTCGGAGACCAAATATTTCGACACTCCTGCGAATGTGGCAAAATGGTGAAATAAAGTAGATTTAAACGTAATACATGCTATTGGACAGTAACCATGTCCTAAAAAGAATAGCAAACCACTCGGCGATTGGTTGATTAGTGATATTATTATAACTATGTAGTCTCAAGTGGTATATTACAATTGTTTGACACTCACTATAACCGAACTACAAAAAGACTCTTGAAACAAATATGTCAGTGAAATTTTTAATCCTTAAAAAGCTGCCAGGTTCTACGTTGTTTATGACTGACCTTAGAACATAGTCACTAAGGAAATGATAGAAAGGCTGTTTCAGAATTATGAAAGAATAAATAAATGATAAAAGAGCTATTTCGTAAACCTGAAATTTAGCTAGCTTTTTAATCACATGACTACAATTCAGAATTAAAAGATCATGCAACCAAGGATTTTAATCATTACAAGACCATAATCTTTCCAGTAAAGACAGGAAGAATAAGGCGCCAATTTAAATAGCCCTTGATGGTCGTTCTGAGCAACTTTGGCTGGCGGGTTATCGAAAGCTATCGGTTTTATTTATATCACGTTTGTTACATCCATATCAACTTTACAGAAGCTAGTAACAAGATAATAAATAGGTTATTATAAAGAAATCCAAACCGAGTTACCAACCTTTAAGTTCAATTTGGTCTGCATTTTGATTTAAGAATGTATCCTTTGGATCTAAAATCGTTCCCTTTTGGGGATCAGTAATGTAGTAGTTGCTTAATTGAACATGATGCTCCGAAGACACCTAAAATGAAAGCAAGGCAAAATCGATGGCGCTAAACATGTATATCGTCAGTAATTGAATACATCACACACCGAATAGTACACGTTAGTCCCTAAAATTGTCAAAAGATTCAGCCCACTGAAAATTAAAGGAATAAATCGGCAGATTCAGACTACGATATATTTACCGCCTCAGACAAATCATACCACTTAAAGGTCTGGATCGCATTGGTCAATAAGAAATAAAGCATACAACCTGAGGAAGTTAGACCGGCTTCAGACCTGGTTGTCGATGTACTGAAAGTCTTCGCCGTTCAGTAGGTTTGAAAACACAGGCACCTGTACTACCAGCCATTTGTGACCATGTTTATTAACCTGAAAAATCAGTAGTCTAAGTCGGTCACCTTTGGTATCGACGCGACATATTTGAGAAACATAAACAGAAGTATGACATAATACAAATGTGCATCAGTTCAAATCTTCTACGTTTCGTACTGCCATATCTAAAGGAAATTAGAACGACAAGGAGTGGAAACAATGATACTGACGGTGATAAATGATGTAAAAATGGAGATAACAGAATTCAAAGTACAAAACAAATCGGCAAAGCTAAAGAAATAGTAAGTTTAGGCAGCATCGCGCCAAACTACTATGCAAAATTCGACCGAAAAATGCTTACTTTTTGAAGTACTTTACTAACAGGTTGATCCAAATGTCCACGAACGACAATTGTGCAGTCTTCTGGTAAATGCACAGTAATCCGATGTCCCAGCTAATTTTAGAAATGTAGATAAAAAAGCAGTAATGTAGTGCATCAACAAGCATACATTTACAGAACAGCTTTGAAGTTTTTCCTTCTACTATACAGTAGTAAAAACTTTGTATGGCAAGAACCAGTAGTTGATAAAACGAAAAATACATAAATGAAACCATTGCGACGTATAAATGAGTCAGAGGTCAAACTAGTTTTAGGGGATTAAGAAATGAACAGAATTTACGAATTATTATTACAGTAGAATACCCCGTGAGTTAAGATCAAAGAAAAAGCAAGTACTGCTTGACAAACATATCAGACGAAATGGTAGTTGTCTAAAAACTGTAAATGAGCACTTTGAAACCAGTTGTTACCATCACTAATAGTGGTATGATTATGGTAGAGAAAATAGAAACTGCTGACTACGTAATTATGTGATTTAGAGCTGATCTCCAATAACTTCGACACAAAACATGTTTATAAATACTTTTTTCTTTTTGTGTCTACTTAAACCACTGTTCAAAACTTTGTGTCTAGCTAATGAAATAAAATCCAACGAGGTCATTAGTAACTCAGTAAACGGAAAAAAATTATTTATAACTCACTTCGTTTAAAAATTCTCTCCCCGTTTTTAGGAGTGTAATAGGGTATTTGAACTTCGTGTCAAGGAATGGATACTGATAAAGCTTAGCAGATTTCTTGAAACAGCATTTAGCAATGAGCCTAACCATAGATGGTAGCGTTGTTTGAGTTGTATCAGAATTAACCCAATGGCCAAGCCTACTCCTAGAAGGAGCAGAAAGCCAAAAGATGCCTGAAACTCCAGAAAGGCCCTCGCAAGGAACTAAGAAAGTGTAATCCACTGCTTCTAAGCCACATAATGAACAAAGTCGAAGGAGGAAATCAGAACATTGCATGTCGAAGTCCACACCATAAACGCGAATAAACTCTTCAGTAGCGATACACTCGACGTCGACATACGATCCATTATCACCACAATTCATATAATAAACTCTCGTGGGATCATAATTTTCAAAACCCCGGGAGTTGCTGCTGAATTCTGAACGATCCTTAGAGGACTTCGAGTAGATGATGTTCTTAAGCCTTTCAAATGCATCAGCCAAACCCATATCCGTAGTTAATGTGAAGTATTAAATTTGAAACACTACAGTCCCCACAAAAATTCCCAGCAAAATTGACAAGAGTCGTCAGTGAACTAGTAGAAAATGAAATAAATATTTGATTTAGAAATTTATCCTAGATTTTAGTTTATGTTTATAAAATTTCCAATATTACCACCTAGAAAAAACTTCGAAAAAGAAGAAAATTCACTGTTTTGAGATATAGTACTGCCTAATGTATTTATTACCCAAACTTAGATAAAACAGAATACACTACGTACAACAGCATTCTTAAAAGTCTTCAATTTTGTTTTGCTGACAAAGACGATTTTAACACAAACGATGTAGCTATATCTAAGTATGAGTATTTACTGGAATGTTTTTTAATTACAAAGGTAACAGATGTCTAGATTTTCAGTGATATTCAAACCCCTAGTTCCTTCAACTTTATGTTTATTCACTTTTATACACTTTATGCATATTGTCATGTTATTCCTCACTATTGCTTCGACTTAAAATGACAAAAGAACATTTTTGAAAAGCTGAATGTAAAATTAAGTTGATATGACCTTGCGAGTAGTAATTATTTCAAAGCGAAATGATATGCAGAATGTGAATAAGACAAAATCCCGCCTCCGTTTCATTAGGTCACCTGAGGAAGACCGTACTAGTAGTGGTACAAAAAAACAAACTACAGTGTCCAAGAAAACTGAATTTTCTGTAATTTGTTGCGAAGTCATATTTGTATAATACGCTTTCAAGTTACGAAGTTAATAAATACCCAAGATAAACAGTTTTGTACTGGTAGTATTGATGGTTGTGCACTACCGAGGAGTACCGTAGTGAGACGAAATGGCCGTTCAGTGCTTCCTGTCTTCGATAGTAGGGATGGGAGAACAATCCACCTATCTCAATTCTGGCAATTTATAATGCCGTGAGGATCCGATCTCTCGCTGAATGTATCAGGTGCTAACAGTACGTGTTCTCGAAAGGAACATTAATTCACTACTCGATTTGATAAGTGCGTAACGGCAAATAAGTCCCCGAGATAAATGGCTAAACAAGGCTTCGGCATTGACGATGATCTCATTGGTTTTACTGGGCACACCCTGACCGAAGGCGCTTGGTCACACATCCAAATCAGACTGCGAGTAGGCACGCCATGCTACACATCCTTTTTGACTACCAGCCAGGTCAGATTAAGCGCTCCTCAATACATCGACAATCTTCCAAATATGTGTTTAAGTCCGTTTATACCTAAATCTTGATTTAACAGGGTTGGCACACTTCCATGAAGAAGGTGTTACGGACAAGAGCGTTATCAGACCCTGAAAATCTGTGGCATATTTGATTTCAATATCATCGTCAGTGTACGGTAAGCCAGTATTAAACCAACCTGTAATCTGTGATAAAATGACAGAAGTAGGACGTCACTTCTCAGTCTGTCTTCATAAGATAGGCTGAACAGACTACTCACTATACTGATCCTTCTCTATAAAACAAGCCAATAGTTGACGAGGTCAAAATATGACTTGGGAAGAATAAGTAAATTAGTCCGTTTTGAAGCCAAAAAAACCTATGTGGGTTGATATAGTACTAGCCACTACAAAGATACATTGTAAGAAATAGCACAATAATTTGAAATAGTCTGTTTTCGTTAACGCTAAACAACGAGATATATTGTTCTGTATCAGACAGGGTACAGTATCAAGTAAGGAGTGAGTGTATAATATGAGAGTGACATACCTATGTAAACAACGGATATGAATATTACAAAAATGTGGACAAAAAAGGAGATATGTAAGCATGTGATTATGAACAAATCAATTAGCGAACATGCATACACTTATAGCACAATTATCCTAACGAACAATATTCTTTTCATTGATTTCTCATCAAGTTCTACAATTCTATATCCAAATAAACAATCCACAAAATTGGCCAGGTTTAAAACAGAGTACATCGTTGATATTATAACATGTGAATTAGGGATTGTTTGTAGTGAAAAATCAAATTGTTAATGCTTGGGTGTCTAATATAAGGTGCTAACTTGAATAAGGTCATACGTTAAAGGAAATTGCGAGAATAATCATCAGAATAAGTATGGTCAACATGGAGTAAGACAGAAAATAGTATATTTACATATCGGAAATCACATAATATGTACCATGATACGAATTAGACAAGAATTAGTAGATAGGAGTGGATGCTGAATAAATATCTCAAAAGGTTAGCAAGTGTAATAATAATGATAAAATGATAATAATAATGACAATGGTAAGATGTGTGGATAAGTTAGGTTTATGATATAAAAATGAACAGGGGTTAAATTACGTCACCATATCATAAAAAATAAATAATGACTAGTTGGCTTCGAAGTTGGCCAAAGTGAAAGGAGCGGCTGAACATGTTTCTTTTGGATGCAAAGCTCTGGCACTTTAGTCCGAATAGCAATTACTTCAATCGTCTGCAGGATTCCCAGTATAATGGAATTAGGGAGACTGTTGTTTACATGATATATTATTATGAAAGATTGCTCCATGTTGGTCGCATATTCTGTTCGGATTAAATGAGCTTAAATGAAGCTGTTAACAGTTTTAACTGTGCATTTGCTTGACCACACACATACATTTATAACATGTTCGCATAAGCGATTCGAAATGGCGTGAAAACAGAGTAATAAATAGTGTATGGGCATGACAGGAATAATTCATGAGAGTAAATAGAGTGGAATATTACAGATATTGGCCTGTAGTGCAGATAGAATATAAGGATAAAGATTAATTGATTGTAAAATAGTTCCAATAAGCCTCAGTAGAGTAAATAGTGTCGATTGGTTTCGTAGGATGAGAATAATCCAGCCATAAAATGGTAACTGTATTGATGAATGATATTTCTTTCTGTACTGTAATTGGCACTAATTATAAAATGCGAAGCCAGTGTTGTTGTTGTTTGTGTCATAACCAAATGAATCGAGTTATCGGTAAATATGCATTGAGTAGTGCCTTCGAAGTCGAGATACAAGAAGTCGTATTCTTTTTTTGTCATGCCTAGTATTGTTTTTGTAGTTAAAGGGATATGTACTGGACTTAGTTTGTTACAAAAGCGTACTAAGGCGTGATAAAAATGACAATACATATGACTATCGATGACGGACGAGTGAGACTGGCTTTGATGTGACGAATAAGTGTGTATCTTTGAGAGACTAGCTCTATGTTCTGATCTACAGTGTGGCAAGGACAGAATTTTAGTTTCAGTAACCAAGTGCTGTTTGCGGGTAATGAGTGATGCAGCATGCAGTTTTACATGTGAACACTTAAATAAGATTAACACAATTGTCACTTATTGGCTAGTAATGCAACAACGAATATTTGATGCATATGTGGACATAAGGCAAGGATCATCGACTAAACAAAGAGTGGCTGAAGCTCGGTTTGTATTGTCGTCGAAAAAGTGGAAGACAACGATTGCTGCGTAATAATGCAATAAATGGGCATTAGTTGCATATCGAGACCCTAACTTCGCGTTACAGAGTGTATGACTCCAAACCTGTGTCTGTAATAGCGTTGTTAACCGTTGCCAGTGATATGGTAGCTGCGATCGTGCTATTTTCAACGTAAACAGGTTCACTCGACTGTTAAGACTGACTATTTGTATGCCTGCGTGAGTCGCTAGACCGTCAATTTACTTAGCATGTTGCAGGTTGTTCGATGTACGAGTAGCTAGTAAATCATTTGATGACAAATGAGATGTTATTACCGCATATCCACAAAAGTGAACGATAATGAATAAGTCATTGGTGTGGCAGGTACTTCTGAACATTAAAAAAGCTCAGAAACGTGGATGCAGAATAGTATGAATTCAATATATTTCGTGGTTTTATAGAATTCTGGTCTAGTTCGTTATTAATACTGCTATAATAATAGAAATAACCCTGAAATTTCAGATTTTTCATAGTGTGACTGTCTAGTCATTGAGATTATACATGGAAGTCACATCACTGTCCACGCTGACTCATCGTATCATACTGAACACTTTGAAAGGACATATTTTGTCTGGGGATGGAATAATAAATTCAATAGGCATCATTACAAGGTTTAAGTTGATCATTTCAAATAAAATGATCATTGGGTAGATTATGGTAAATAAAAATAATATATTTGTAACATCCAAATGAGTAGAAAAGTGAGATTTTCTGACATTTCGTGACTCAGTGTAAGCCACTTCTTCGAAGAACAAATAACCGAATTAAATCAGTCTAAGTTCAAAAAGTACAAAGGGATAAAGCAAGAACATCAAGTGCTGTTAACAAAAACATGTCTGAAAAGGTCAATGTGATGTCATTCCGATCAAGGTGTCTTATATTAGACATGTGTGTCACTATGAACGAGAATCTGAAGCAATCACGACAACTATTCATGCAACTACGAAAGCATGGAATCTCTGCAAACGTTGAGATGTGTGAGTTCAGAAAGGGATCCCTGTAGTTACTGGGTCACATAGTAACTTCGCAGTGTATTACGCCGATCTCAGCAAAAGTCTGTGATATCAGAGATTGTCCATTATCCGACTCTTGGAAGAACTTACGACGATTTCTCGAGTTAGCAAGTTATTATAAACGCTTATTCTGAATTATGCAGCAATAATTCAACCGTTGACTGACATGCTCGAACATTCTATCTATCAGCAGAGGGGACACAAGCATTTGAAAACGCCGAGAAGGCAACAAACAAAGAGACAACGCTGGCTAGACAAAAGAGCGAAACACCATTAACTGCCATGACCTGTAACGGTATTAAAAATCATTACAGCTGACGTTACTAACGTGAGTTTGTTTTTCTTATTGCAGGGCAGCAAAGAGTAAACATACTGGAAGGAGAGTAACAAGCCCTATGTAAGCTGAACCTGCAGAACTATGGGTAAAACTATTTTGTAGAAAGTTTCCTTTTTGTACTGGAACCGCGTGTTTCGATTTTCAAAAATATATCTGTTGTGCCGATACGCCTCGG